AAGTGTTGGGATTACAGACATGAGCCACTGCACCCAGCCATCAAGTCATCATTTTACTTAAGGAGCTTGAGGTTCAATGGAGTAAAGTGACTCTCAAAAGTCAGCCAGTGTCTGCAATCCCAGCCCTTAGGGAGACAGAAGCGGGAGGACTGACCGGGAGGTTGAGGCTACAGTAAGCTATGATTGTGCCCCTGTCCTCCTGTCTGGCCAACTGAGCAAGACTCTGTCTTAAAAATAAATAAAAATAAAAATAAAAGTCGCAGAGCAAAGTGGTAGCAATATATATTTTTTGAGACGGAGTCTCACTCTGTCACCCAGGCTAAAGTGCAGTGGCATGATCTTGGCTTACTGCAAACTCTGCCTCCCAGGTTCAAGCGATTCTCCTGCCTCAGTCTCCTGAGTAGCTGGGATTACAGGTGCTCACCACCACGCCCAGCTAATTTTTTTGTATTTGTAGTAGAGATGGGGTTTCTCCATGTTGGCCAGGGTGGTCTCAAACTCCTGACCTCAGGTGATTCACCCTCCTCCACTTCCCAAAGTGCTGGGATTACAGGTGTGAGCCACCGTGCTTGGGCAAAGTGGTAGCCATATTGAGACTAGGACCAAGGTCTCTTGACTCCCTGTCAAGTGCTCTTCCTACGACTTCCTGAACATGGCATTCTTTATCACTTCCAAAATGACATTCCTAACCAGGTGCAGTGGCTCACACCTGTAAACCCAGCACTTTGGGAAGCCGAGGCAGAAGGATTGCTTGAGCCCAGGAGTTTGAGACCAGACTAGGCGACATAGCTAGAATCCATCTCTACAAAAAAAGTTAAAAAAAGAATTAGCTGGACGTGGTGGCATCACCTGTAGCTTCGGCTACTCAGGAGGCTGTCGTGGGAGGATCAATTCAGTCCAATAGTTGGAGGCTGCAGTGAGCCATGATTACGCCACTGCCCTCCAGCCTGGGCAACAGAGCCAGACCCTCTCTCTAAAAAACAAAAACTATTGACTGGGTGTGGTGGCTCACGCCTATAATCCTAGCACTTGGGGAAGCCAAGGTAGGTGAATCACCTGAGGTCAGGAGTTCGAGACCAGCCTAACCAATATAGTGAGGTCCTGTCTCTACTAAAAATACAAAAATTACCTGGGTGTAGTGGCAGGCACCTGTAATCCCAGCTACTTGGGAGGCTGAGGCAGGAGAATCTCTTGAACCCAGGAGGTGGAGGTTGCAGTGAGCTAAGATCACATCACTACACTCCAGCCTGGGTGACAGAGTGAGGCTCTGTCTCAAAAAAAAAAATACCACAAAAAATGTTATCAAGAGGCAGCTTCCTACTGCCCACCCCTTTCCTTTCTCTCCCACAAGTCTACCTGCCTCTGCTCAGCCAAGCCCAGAAGGGGCTCCAGATCTGGGGAAAGAGAGAGTAATGGGATGTGCCTTGGTTTCTGGCTGAACCCACCTTCCTTAGTTTCCCTCCCATTCCCAAGAGCTGAAGAAGCCAAAGAAAAACAGAGCAGCATTCCTTTCCACAAGTCAATAGCATCAAGCCTCGATGAGCTCCCAGGCCTGTAGCTACTTGCAAGGCTATAGTACCAGTGACCCTCAGAGGCCCAACTTCATCCTACTCTCCTCTCCCCTCCTCTCACTGAAACCTCAGGTCCCCAGTGACGAGGAGCTCATCTCTCGACAAGAGAGGCTGATCCTGGATGTTAGACAGCAAGGTATTACTCCAAACCTCAGGACCCATTAAATCTCAGGGCTTCCTGGAACTCAGATCCTGCACCAACACCATTCAGCCCCAGAAGCGTTCCTGGCATGAAACGAAGATGTGATGAATAATAGGCAAAAGCTCCAGACATGAGCCACTCTTCATTAGTCTGTTTTGAGGCTCCGCCTGAAAACCTGAAAGCAGGCTTGACTTCAGGCTTCACTCAAGACTGATTCCCAGCGAAGTCACGTAACTCATGTGTTGAACACTGGCTATGTAACAAGTGCAGTGTGAGCAAGGCTCATTAGCTGGAAGAATGAAAGCTACGTGACCTTTCTTTTTTTTTTTTTTTTTTTTGAGGCTGAGTCTTGCTCTGTCACCTAGGCTGAAATGCAATGGCATGATCTCGCCACACTGCAACCTCCGCCTCCCGGGTACAAGTGGTTCTCCTGTCTCAGCCTCCTGAGTAGTTGCGATTATAGGCACACACCACCACACCTGGCTAATTTTCTGTATTTTTAGTAGAGATGGGGTTTCATCATGTTGGCCAGGCTGGATTTGAATTCCTGACCTCAAGTTATCTGCCCACCTTGGCCTTCCAAAGTGCTGAGATCATAGGTGTGAACCACCACTCCTGGCCTGCATGACCTTTCTGTCCCTCTATTTTCTCTTCTTGAAAATGAAAGCGCTAAGGGAAGATTTGTAAAATCAGTCACAGGCCAGGCATGATGGTTTTTCCCTATAACCCCAGTGCTTTGGGAGACCAAGGCAGGAGGATCACTTGAGTCCAGGAGTTTGAGACCAGCCTAAGCAATATAGTGAGACCCTCTCTGCACAAACAAGTAAAAAATTAGCCAGGCATGGTGGCATGCATCTCTGGTCCCAGCTACTCAGGAGGCCAAGAGGGTAGGATCGCTTGAGCCCAGGAGTTTGAGGCTGCCGTGAGTTATGATCATGCCACTACATTCCAGCCTGGGTGCCAGAGGGAGAGACCCTTTCCTCAAAAAGATAAAAAAGTCTGCTGGGCGCGGTGGCTCACGCCTGTAATCTCAACACTTTGGGAGGTTGACGTGGGCGGATCACCTATCGCCTGAGGTCAGGAGTTCAAGACCAGTCTGGCCAACATGGTGAAACCCCATCTTAAAAAAAGATAAAAAATTAGTCATGGCTGGGAGTGGTGGTTCACACCTGTAATCCCAGCACTTTGGGAGGCTGAGGCGGGCAGATTGTCTGAGGTCAAGAGTTTGAGACTAGCTTGGCCAACATGGCGAAACCCCATCTCTACCAGAAATACCAAAAAAATTCGCTGGGTATGGTGGCAGTTGCCTGTAATCCCAGCTCCTTGGGAGACTGAGGCAGGAAAATCGCTTGAACCTGGTGGCAGAGTTTGGCAGTGAGCAAAGATGGCTCCACTGTACTCCAGCCTAGGTGACAGAGTGAGACTTTGTATCAGTAAAAAGAAAAAAAAGTAGTCACAGTAGGTTCTTAAAAAGTGGTGGGTGAAAGCCGGGCGCGGTGGCTCATGCCTGTAATCCCAGAACTTTGGGTGGCCAAGGTGGGCAGATCACTTGAGGTGAGGAGTTTGAGACCAGCCTGGCTAATATGATGAATCCCCATTTCTACTAAAACAAAAATTAGCTGGGCATGGTGGCAGCACCTGCAAGCCCAGGTACTAGAGAGGCTGAGGCAGGAGAATCACTTGAACCAGGGAGATGGAAGTTGCAGTGAGTCAAGATTGTGTCACTACACTCCAGCCTGGGTGATCGAGAGAAATTCAGTCTCAAAAAAAAAGAAAAAATAGCAGTGGGTTTTATTATTGTGAGTGTAGGTAATGGAGTGTGGTGCACAGCTTATAGGCTCAGGGTAACAGAGCTTTAGGGGGGTCTCTAGGCTCCAGAAAAGCTCCCCAAGTTCTCAGCAATGGGGCTAAACTCTCCCAGAGCTGCAAACGTTTGTGGTGTGTTGGGGAGGGGCTGGGGTGCTGACTTTTCTAGAGAGCTTCGTGCTTCCAGCCAACCAGCCCAGTGGTTCCACACTGCCCCCTAGCTTTGTTCATGCTCACCACCTGTTACTCCCAAGTAACCCCTTCTTTCGAGAAAACCAGCATAGCCATCTGCACCCTCTCCCCTCCCATTTCCCAGTTCTCTGCTATCCCTGAGCTCTGACTCTGCTGCCATCCCCTTTTCCTCCCCCAAGCCACCCCAAGCCCTGTCAACCCTCAAATCCTTGAATTTTCCTGTCAATTTTTTTTTGAGACAGTGTCTTGCTCTGTTGCCCAGGCTGGAGAGCAGTGTTGCCATCATAGCTCACTTCAGCCTCAACCCCCGGGGCTCAAGCAATCCTCCTGCCTCAGCCTCCTAAGTAGCTGGGATCACAGGCGTTCACCACCATGCCTAGCTAATGTTTTTTTAAAAAATTTTATACAGATGGGGTCTCGCTATGTTGCCCAGGCTGGCCTCCAACTCCTGAGCTCAAGCAATCCTTCCATCTCAGCCTCCCAAAGTGTTGGGATTGTAGGCATGAGTCACCACAGTTGGCCTTGCTGTTGATTTCATTAAACAACCCTGCTTTTTCCTGGGGAGCCTCCTCTGTGCCTTCATGTGGCCTGGCTACTCCAAGAGGGGATCTGAGGCTCTGGGGTCTCCCTTTTTGTTGTCTCCCCTGCCCTCCCACCTCCCTCCAAATTGCCACAGCCTCCCTCCAGGCCCTCATTCCCACAGTGCCAGGCCAAACCCCTCACCCAGCTCCTAGGCTGCAGCATTCACCCGGCCCACTGGGAGCATGGTCCCTGCAGAGTCCCCTGGAGGTGTAGTTTCAGTTCTTGGTGAGGTGAGGGCTGGAGTTCCTTCCCAGCAGGTGGATGCGTCTTTCAAAGCCCCCCTGTGCATCTGTACAGGACGCGCAACTCTCCACCAACAAGCTCTTCAGTGCCAGAGAGGCAGGGTAGTGGGCTACCTCTGGGAGCCGGCAGTTTCCAGCGAGGCCTCCTTCGCTGAGCCTTGGACAAGCCCTGTAATCCACACTAAATACCTTTCCTGTAGGATTGCTAAGGACAGCAGCTGGTGCCAGCGGGTCCTTAATGAATGGCAGCTGTTACTGCCTTATAGGGAAAGGCCAAGTTGCCAACAAGCATTTCAGCCCCTAGAAGGGAGTAGGGTCCAGAGCAGAAACCTGCTAACCCTCCTTTCCCCCAGATAGACCCACAGGTGACCCCCACTGGGCTTTAGGCTTTCACCTTAGGGGCCTCTCCCTGACCCACCCAAACTCCTCTCATCCCCTCCCACCATCCACAAACACACTCCACACTGACTCAGAACTATCTGATATTTATTTCCCAATATTTTGATTTTTTTTTTTTTACAAATGGAATAGATGGAATGAAGGGGCTCATATGCGACCCCAGGCCTGGCCTTGGGCTCCCGATGAGAGGTGACTCCATAAAGGATCTCCTCACCCACAACTTCTGGCCTGCTGCCCTGACCCCTCCCATCAACCTGACGTAAGAGTGAGATCGGGACTCTCTGAGGGTCTGGGGATCCCCCCTAGAGGGGACTTCGGGCATCCAGTTTCAGGGACTGAACCGGCTTGTGTTGCGGGGTAGCATGGCATCGGACGTGGCTGCTGAAGCTGTTTCCGAAAGGCCCACAGCACCAGGTGCACCTTGCACAGCATCTCAGCCTCTGGTGTCTTCACAGGTGGCTGAGTCCTCATTTGGGAGCTAACTGAGGCAGAACTCACCGATGACTGTAAGAGAAAGAAGATGTGCACGTGCTAATAGCTGGGTCTAGGGAGAAACCACTGCTAGAACGACTCATAGATAAACAGCAAAGGGCTCCCTGATTCTACCTCTCCCATCAGACCAGCTCAGACACACCTCCAGGAAGCCTTCCCAGCTTGCATTAGATGTTTGCCATCTCTATCCTTTTTTTTTTTTTTTTTTTTTAATGAGACAGGGTCTTGCTATGTTGCCCAGGCTGGTCTCAAACTCCTGGGCTCAAGCAATCTGCCTGCCTTGGCTTCCCAAAGTGTTGGGATTACAGGTGTGAGCCACCGCACCTGGCCTATCATTTCTACTTTTTTTTTTTTTTTGAAACGGAGTCTCGCTCGTTCACCTAGGCTGGAGTGCAGTGGCACAATCTCGGCTCACTGCATCCTCCACCTCCCAGGTTCAAGCGAATCTCCTGCCTCAGCCTCCCAAATAGCTGGGATTACAGGCATGTACCACTACGCCCAGCTAATTTTTGTATTTTTAGTAGAGACAGGGTTTCGCCATGTTGGCCAAGCTGGTCTTGAACTCCTCTCCTGATCTCAAGTGAGCCTCCTGCCTCAGCCTCCCAACGTGCTGGGATTATAGGTGTGAACCACCACGCCCGGCCCCATCATTTCTGTTCTCACGGTCTGCTCCTCGTACCATGTTTCATACACCATCTGCTCTAAGGGCTGGTCTGTTTTTTCCACCAGAGTGCAGGCTCTGGAGTACGGAAGCTGTCACTGACCTACCTTTGAGACCCCACTCCTAAAATGAAAGAGAACAGGACACACAACTAGACTCTGTCTCCAGCCTGGAACTCTCTCCTGACCTCCAGGCCTGCACACACTTCTGCCTCTTGGACACCTCCATGTAAATGTCTTACCATTGACATTACAACTCATCTCGTCCCAATGCCCTAAAATTGTCACCTTCTCCCCTGTTCTTCCTCATTCATTCTCCATACCAGTGAATATCTCCAGCCTGCCTGATTCTGTCTCTCCCAATCTCCACTGCTTCCATCCATCAACCACTAGGCCCAACCATTCTACCTCCTAAATGTGGCACCAGTGCATTAGTTCTACCTGATGGCTCTTCCCCAGTCCAGAACAGCATTCTTTTTTTTTTTTTTTGAGATGGAGTCTTGCTCTGTTGCCCAGGCTGGAGTGCAGTGGTACAATCTCAGCTCACGGCAACTTCCACCTCCACCAGATTCAAGTGATTCTGTTGCCTCAGCCTCCCGAGTAGCTGGGATTACAGGAGCTCACTATGACACCCAGCTAATTTTTGTGTATTTTTAGTAGAGACAGGGTTTCTCCATGTTGGTCAGGCTGGTCTTGAACTCTTGACCTCAGGTGATCCACCTACCTCGGCCTCCCAAAGTGCTGGGATTGCAGGCATGAACCACCGTGCCCAGCCCAGAACAGCATTCTATCTTAGCCTGGACTGCAGCAGCCTCCAGTGGATCCTACTATCCCTTCTCTGGTCCCCTGCTAAGACCCCTCTTCAGGACAGCCAAATGACCCTTTTATCATTATCAATGTCATTATTATAGAATGAGGTCTCTTTCTGTTGCCCAGGCTGGAATGGAGTAGTGCAATCACTGCAGTCTTGAACTCTGCTGGGCTCAAGCGATCCCCCCCGGGCCTGTCTCCTGAGTACCTGGGACTACAGGTGTGCGCCACCACACCTGGCTAATTTTTAAAAAATCTTTTGTAGAGATGGAGTCAGTGTTGCTATACTCCTGCAAACCAAAACATAAAGCTACAGAACATTTCTATTAGATAGGAGAAAGCAAACAAAACACAAAATGATACAGAACATTTTCATCAACACAAGGGCTCCTCATGTTGTCCTTTTTTTTTTTTTTTTTGAGATGGAATTTTGAGTTTTGCTCTTGTTGCCCAGGCTGGAGTGCAATAGTGCGATCTCAGCTCACCACCTCCCGGGTTCAAGCGATTCTCCACCTCCCAGGTTCAAGCGATTCTCCTGCCTCAGCCTCTCGAGCAGCTGGGATTACAGGCACGTGCCACCATACCTGGCTAATTTTGTATTTTTAGTAGAGACGGGTTTCTCTGTGTTGGTCAGGCTGGTCTTGAACTCCCAACCTCAGGTGATCTGCCCACCTTGGCCTCCCAAAGTGCTGGGATTACAGGTGTGAATGTTGTCCTTCTCTAACTACACTCTTCTTCCCCTCTCTGCAGCCCCTGGCAACTTTGAGCCACTAATATGTTCCCCATTTCTAGATTTTTGTTATTTCAAGAGGGGTAGATGATAGAAATGGAATCACTCAGTATATAATCTTTTAGGATTGGCTGTTTCCACTCAGTATAATTTCCTCGAGGCCGAGAGTGGTGGCTCACGCTTATAATCCCAGCACTTTGGGAGGCCAAGGTGGGTGGTTCACATGAGGTCAGGAGTTCGAGACCAGCTTGGCTATGATGGTGAAACCCTGTCTCTACTAAAAATACAAAAAATTAGCCCGGCAAGGTGGCATGCGTCTGTAGACCCAGCTACTCGGGAGGCTGATGCAGGAGAATCACCTGAACATGGGAGGCAGAGGTTGCAGTGAGCAGAGGTCTTACCACTGCACTCCAGCCTGGGCAACAAGAGCGAAACTCCATCTCAAGAAAAAAAAAAAATTCCTTAAGATTCACCCATGTTATTGGAAATATCAATAGTTTGTCCTTTCTAGCTTTTTAAATTTTTGTGTGTTTGTTTTGTTTGTTTGTAGAGATGGGGTCTTACTATGTTGTCCAGGCTGGCCTCGAACCCCTGGGCTCAAGCAATGCTCCTGCCTGGGTGTTTAAAAGGGCTAGGATCACAGGCGTGTCACTGTGCCTGGCTAATTTATCCCTTCTTATTGCTGAGTAGTATTCTGAAGTTTGAAGATATCAGTTTAACCATTCACGGACTGAAGGACATGGGTTGATTTTGGCTGCTACAAATCAAGCTGCTATGAACATCCACATTTAGATTTTTTGTGTGGACATAAGATTTCATTTATCTGGGATAAATGCCCAAGAGTACAACTGTGGGGTCATATGGTAACTTCATGCTTAGTTTTATAAGAAATGACCATTCTTGGCCGGGTGCTGTGGCTCACGCCTGTAATCCCAGTACTTTGGAGGACAAGGTGGGTGGATCACCTGAGGCCAGTAGTTTGAGACCAGCCTGGTCCAATATGGTGAAACTCCGTCTCTATTAAAAATACAAAAATTAGCTAGATGTGGTGGTGGGTGCCTGTCATCCCAGCTACTCAGGAGGATGACAAAGAGAATCCTTGAACCTGGGATGCAGAGGTTGCAGAGACCCAAGATCAGGCTGTGAAAAAAGAAAAGAAATGACCATCTTCTTTTCCATAGTGGCTGTGTCATCTTTTTTTTGAGACAGTGTCTCACACTGTCACCAAGATTGGAGTGCAGTGGCACAAATATAGCTCACTGCAGCCTTGACCTCCCAGGCCCAAGCGATCCTCCCACTTTAGCCTCCCAAGTAGCTGAGACTACAGGCATGCATCATGCCCGGCTAATTTTTTACCTTTGTAGAGACAGGTTCTCCTTATGTTGCCCGGGCTGGGTTCAACAAGCTTACAGTCCTACACGCACATACGAGTGTTGGTGAGCTTTCGAAATCAAAATCTGATCATGTCACTCCTCTGCTCAGATGTCTTCAAGGGCTCCCACTACGCTAAGGGTCCAATCCAAAGCTCGAAACTTGGCAGCACTGCCTTCTACCAGCTGGCTTTTGGCTTTAGGACCGTTCCCTTCCAAGCCACACACCTTGGGCCAGCTCTGCACACATCTGCTATTATTTTTTGTTTGTTTGAGACAGACTCTCATTCCATTTCCCAGGCCGGAGTGCACTGGCACAATCTCGGGTCATTGCAACCTCTGCTTCCTGGGTTTAAGTGATTCTCCTGCCTCAGCCTCCCAAGTGTCTGGGATTATAGGGGTGCGCCACCACATCTTGCTAATTTTTTTTTTTTTTTGAGACAGAGTCTTGCTCTGTCACCCAGGCTGGAGTGCAGTGGCATGACCTCGGCTCACTGCAACCTCCGCCTCCTAGGTTCAAGCGATTCTCCTGCCTCAGCCTCCTGAGTAGCTGGGATTATAGGTGTGTGCTACCATGCTCCGCTAATTTTTGTATTTTTAGCAGAGACAGGGTTTCACCATGTTGATCAGCCTGAATTTTTTTTTTTTCTTTTTTAAAATTTTTATTTTTATTTTTTTACAAAGATGGGGTTTCACCATGATGGCCATGCTGGTCTTGAACTCCTGACCTCAGGTGATCCACCCACCTCAGCCTCCCAAAGTGCTAGGACTGAATTTTTGTATTTTTTTAGTAGAGACAGGGTTTCACCATGTTGGCCAGGCTGGCCCTGACCTCAGGTGATCCACTTGCCTCAGCCTCCCAAAGTGCAGGATTACAAGTGTGAGCCACCAGCCTTTCTTTCTTTTTTTTGAGACAGAATCTCTGTCACCCAGGCTTGAGTGCATGGCAGAATCTCGGCTCACTGCAACCTTCGCTTCCCAGATTCCAGCAATCCTCCCACTTCAGCCTCCTGAATAGCTGGGACTACAGCTATGAGTCACCAATTCCTGGCTTATTTTTATATATTTTGTAGAGATGGGGTTTCACCATGTTGCCCAGGCTGTTCTTGAACTCCTGAGCTCAAGTGGTCCTCCTGCCTTGGCCTCCCAAAGTGTTGGGATTACAGTCGTGAGCCACTGTGCCTGGCCACACACCTGCCGTTCTTACTCCCTGGATACCCCTCCCATTCCCTCCACCTTTCCCTAACAATCCCTTCAAGCTAAGCTAACACCTTCAGGCCTCAGCTTTACCCTCACTTCTGTTAAGAAGGCCTTGCCTGACCCCTTAGGTCTGGATAAGATGCCTCTCCGCTGGGGTCCTACAGCCCCCTTGACAATGTCACATTCAACAATGCCTGTTGTCTCATCTGTAACCCCACAAGTCCGCAAGTCTTGTTCAGTGTTGTATCTGGCTAATTTAAATTAGCCAGGAGTGGTGGTGTGTGTCTGTAGTCCCAGCTACTCAGAAGGCTGAGGCAGGAAGATTGCTTGAGCCCAAGAGGTGGAGGCTGCAGTGAGCCATGAATGCACCACTGCACTCCAGCCTGGGCAACAGAATGAGACCCTGTCTCAAAAAAGGAAGGAAGGGAGGGAGGGAGAGAGGGAAGAAGGAAGGAAGGAAGGAAGAAAGGAAGGAAGGAAGGAAGGAAGGAAGGAAGGAAGGAAGGAAGGAAGGAGGGAAGGAGGGAAGGAGGGAAGGAGGGAAGGAGGGAAGGAGGGAAGGAGAAGGAAGGAGGAAGGAGGAAGGAAGGAAGGAAGGAAGGAAGGAAGGAAGGAAGGAAGGAGAAGGAAGGAGGAAGGAAGGTAGGAAGGAAAAGGAAGGAGGAAGGAGGAAGGAAGGAAGGAAGGAAGGAAGGAAGGAAGGAAGGAAGGAAGGAAGGAAGGGTCGGAAGAAAGGAAGCAAGCAGGCAAGCTAGCTAGCTTCAGGAATACCTGGCACTTGGTGGAGGCATAGGAAATAATTTTTTTGTTTGTTTGTTTATTTGTTTAAGAGACAGAGTCCTGCTCTGCTGCCCAGGCTAGAATGCAGTGGCACAATCATAGCTCATTGCAGCCTTGAACTCCTGGGCTCAAGTGATCCTCTTGCCTCAGCCTCCCAAGTAGCTGGGACTACAGGCACCACTACAGGCTCCTGGCTAATTTTTAACTTTTTTTACAAAATGGGGTCTTGCTTTGTTGCCCAGGCTGGTCTTACTGGCCTTGAACTCCTGGCCTCAAGTAATCCTCCTGCCTCAGCCTCCCAAAGTACTGGGCCTACCAGCATGAGCCACCATGCCTGGCTAATAAAGAAAAAAATTTGGGTTGGGCACACGGTGGCTCAGGCTTGTAATCCTAGCACTTTGGGAGGTCAAGGTGGGTGGATCACAAGGTTAGGAGTTCAAAACCAGCCTGGCCAAGATGGTGTAACCCCGTCTGTACTAAAAATACAAAAATCAGCTGGGCACGGTGGCACGTGCCTGTAATCCCAGCTACTTAGGAGGCTGAGGCAGAGAATAGCTAAAACCCAGGAGGCGGAAGTGGTAGTGAGCGGAGATTGTGCCACTGCACTCCAGCCTGGGCAACAGAGTGAGACTCCATCTCAAAAAAAAAAAAAAAAAAAATTGCCAGGTATGGTTGCTCATGCCTGTAATCCAAGCACTTTGGGAGGCTGAGGCAAGTAGATCACTTGAGCCCAGGAGTTCCAGACCAGCCTGACCACATGGTGAAACCGTCTCTATTAAAAATACAAAAATTAGCCAGGCATGGGAGTGCAGGCCTGTAGTCCCAGCTACCCAGGAGGCTGAGGCAGGGGAATCATTTAAAACTTGGAGGCAGAGGTTGCAGTGAGCCAAGATCACACCACTGCCCTCCAGCCTGGGTGACAGAGAGAGACTGTTTCAAAACAAAAGAAAAAGAAAAAAAACCATTTTAAGAGACAGAATCTTGCTATGTTGCCCAGGCTGGTCTCAAACTCTTGAGCTCAAGTGATCTTCCCATCTCAGCCTCCCAAAGTGCTGGGAATACAGGCATGAGCCACTGTATCAGGCCAGGAAACAACTGTTGAACAAGTCATGGGAGGAGGAGTGAGTCACTGGGGGCTGGGGAAAGAGGGAGGGGTACTGGAAACAGGGGGACGGTGCTGACCTTCCAGCTGCACATCTGCCAGCCGCTCTGCAGGGCGGGAACCATGAGCGTGGAGACAGACTTGACAGCCGTCCTGGGCTGCTGAAACAGGGATCGGCCCTGTCGGCCCAGCTCCACCTTGGTCCCCTCCCTGGTCTTGGCCAAAACGCAGGCATCTGGCAGCTCAGGGGACTCACCCAACTCGAGCTTAGCCTCTTTGAGGGGCTCGACCAACCTCAAAGTCTCAGACACCTGGAGAGTCTTCACCTTTTTCAATGAGTGCTTTTGAGAGTTTATTTTCTGTCTCCAGAAGAAAATCTGAGAACCAAGACACAGAGAGGAGAGACAGGAGAGAGGGGCGGGGCAGAGACAACACCATCCACAGAAGAAAAGGCACAAAAGGGATGGAGCAGTGAGTTTCCTGGCCTCTCTTTCTTCTCCTCCAGTCCCTCCCCAGCTGTCCTTTTCCCTCCTCTCCACCCCATCTTCTTTGGCCATAGGAGGCCAGAAAGGGAGGGAGCCCATGCCGTAGGAGGCCGCCCAAGACCCATGCCCTTGTCCCAGTGCATCATGAGGACAGAGCAGTCTCGGAAACTCACCCAGCTAGTAATCCTTTGCCAAGCCCGTCTAACCCATCAGAAGAACCTCATGACCACAACCATCTTTCTCGACAGGACAAACACAGATGAGGGGGCAAAGCCAGCATTTGGTACGGTGGGGGTGGTGGGTGGAGGACGGGGTGGGCTTCCGGCCAGTGACTGCCCCTCGAGGGGTCCCCTGGGAGCTTCAAGTACAGCAGTAAAGAAAGACGTAGGAAATACTGGGGGACAGTCCCTCCCGGTGACACATCCCAGACCTTTCCTCCTCTCCCTGGGACAGGGAGAGGAGTTGAAGTAGGTGAGAACCTACAGTGAGGGTGAGTTCTAGACCACTGTGAGGCTGCCTGGCCCTAACCCTAACCCTCAAGGTCCCGGAGAGTCCATCTCTTCCACCCTGGAGCTCCTTCGCTCAGATCCAGGGAAAAGAAACTAACATGTAACAAACTAACAGGGACTGTCCCTGCATCCTGTCATGCAGTCCCTTCACAGCAGCCCTTCAAGGAAGATATTACTGTTAGTGCCACTTCCTAAAATAGGAATCTGAAATTCAGGAAAGCTAAAGGGGGCTGGGCATGGTGGCTCATGGCTGCAATCCCAGTGTTTTGGGGAGGCTGAAGCAGGATCACTTGAGGCCAGGAGTTTAAGACCAGCTTAGGCAACACAGTGGGACCCCCGACTCACTATTTTTAAGTTAAAAAAAAAATTTTTTTTTAAATAGCCAGGAGTGATGGTGTGTGTCTCCAGTCCCAGCCACCCAGGAGGATGAGGCAGGATTGCTTGAGCCCAGGAGGTGGAGGCTGCAGTGTGCCATGATTTCACAACTGTACTCCAGCCTAGGTAATAGAATGAGACCGTGTTCCAAAAAAAAAAAAAAAAAAGAAAGGAAGAAGAAGGAAGGAAGGAGGGAAGGAGGGAAGGAGGGAAGGAAGGGAAAGGAAGGGAAGAGAAGGGAAGGGAGGGAGGAAGAGAGAGAGAGAAAGAGGGAAAGAAAAGGAAAGGGTAAAGGAAAAGGGAAAGGGAGGGGAGAAAAAGGAAGAAAGAAAGAAAAAAAGGGAAGAAGGGAGGAAGAGAGAGAGGAAGGAAGGAGGGAAAGGAAGAGAGAGAGAGAAAAAGAAGGAAAAAATAAAAAGAAGGAAGGAAGGAAGGGAGGGAGGGAGGGAGGGAAAAAACTTAAGGAGGCTAAGTGTGGTAGCTCACACCTGTAATCCCAGAACTTCGGGATGCCAAGGTGGGCGAATTACTGGAAACCAGGAGTTTGAGATCAGCCTGGGCAATATAGCAAGATTGCTTCTACAAAAATATTTAGGCTGGGCGCGGTGGCTCATGTCTGTAATCTCAGTACTTTAGGAGGCTGAGGTGGGCAGATCACTTGAGTTCAGAAGTTCAAGACCAGCCTGGCTAACACGGCAAAATCCCATCTCTACTAAAAGTACAACAAAAAAAGGCGGGGTGCGGTGGCTCATACCTCTAATCCCAGCACTTTGAGAGGCAGAGGTGGGTGTATCACGAGGTCAAGAGTTCAAGACCAGCCTGGCCAAGATGGTGAAACCCCCGCCTCTACTAAAAATACAAAAATTAGCCGGGTGTGGTGGCAGGTGCCTGTAATCCTGTGGTGGCTACTTGGGAGGCTGAGGCAGGAGAATTGCTTCAACTTGGGAGGCGGAGGTTACAGTGAGCCGAGATTGTGTCACTGAACTCTAGCCTGAGAGTCAGAGCAAGACTCCATCTAAAAAGAAAAAAGAAAAAAATAATTACCTGGGCGTGGTAGCAGACATGTGTAGTCCCAGCTACTCAGGAGGCTGAGGCATGAAAATCACTTGAACCTGGGAGGCAGAGGTTGCAATGAAATGAGATCTCGCCACCGCACTCCAGCCTGGGTGACAAAAGCGAAACACCATCTCAAATAAATAAACAAATATATACATACCTACATACAAACATATAGCTGGGTGTAGTGGCACATGCCTGTAGTCTCAGCTACTTGGGAGGCTGAAGTGGGAGGATCACTTGAGCCCAGGAGTTGAAGACTACAGTAATATATGATCACATCATCGCACTCCAGCCTGGGCAACAAAGCAAGACCCCATCTCTACAAAAATAAAGAAAATTAGCTGAATGTGGTGATGCGCACCTATAGTTCAGGGAGGCCAAGGCAGGAGGATCACTAGAGCCAGGGAGATGGAGGCTGCAGGGGGCTGTGATTGTGCCGCAGCACTCTGGGCAACAGAGCAAGACCCCGTCTCAAAAAAAGAAAGAAGAAATTTAAAAAAAAAGAAAAACCAAAGAAGTTGCCCAAAGTTATGAACCTAGGGAAACTAAGGAGGCGGGGAGTCAGGGACTCCAAGGCAGGTCAGTCTCCAAGGACCTGGCTTCACAGCTTCCTTCTAGCCGGGGCCCCTTCCGCTGCTCCCAGGGCCCTCCTGGGGCTTTGGCTGCAGCTCTTCCCTCTTCCCCGCTAGATGGGGTCCTTCTCCAACGCTGCTGACTCGCCTGGGACCGGAGCCCAGGCTGTCAGGGAGGGGCCAGCTCACCCACAGGGCCTGTCCTCAGCCGGCCGGGGGTGGGAGCTGCGGCGGCCGGCCAGGCCTGGCAAGGGCACCGTGTGCCCGGGGAGCCTGGCCCACACCCAGCCCCGAGACAAGGGGCCCATTCAGGACCACCTGCCCCGCCCCCAAACAGCCACCCAGATCCAGCCCGCAGAGGGGACACACTGGGAAGCTGGGGGGTGGATCTTGGGCAACCACCAAAGGCCTCATTGTTTCCCAGCTGCCCCCCCAGCACGTGGGCAGACGCCCCCCCATCCCCAATCTTCGCCTGCCCCTTCCCAGGACCCGAACCACTGGCTCCCTTCTCTGGCCTCTGTCTCGACCCCTCGTCTCCCACACTTTAAACTTCCCCAGTCTGCAAAAGAAAAGATCTCAGGGGAGCATGAAGCGGCAGGCTGGACCCCCAAGTCTGGACACAAGCGAAGAACGAGATGTCAACCTCCAAATTCAAGTTTCTTCAGAGTTTTTAATTATTATTATTACTTTAATAACAACCTGAATCCCAGAACTTCCAGATACTGTCCACGCTCCCTCCCCTGGGCAGAGGAGAGGGGCACCTCAAGGAAAAAAGGTGGGGGTGGGATGTCTGCCAGAGAGCCTCCTACTCCCCCAGGCTGTCTACTGCTGGGGGTCCCATGAGGGAGGGTGGGGGCTGGGTTCCCTCACAGTGGGGGGTCCCTCTGATACCCCATCCTAAAGCCCTCCCTCCTCCATCAAGGCTGGGGACGATGAGGAGATGGGGCAGGGGCAGGGGCGGGGGGGGGGGGGTTGGACCAGGCCAATGCTGAGCCTTGAACTCCCACCCTGGGGACACGGGGACATTAAAGCTGCATAGGAAGAGGGGGCAGGCGGCTGGCGCAAGGCCGGGCAGCCCCAAAGGCACATTGTAAGGGAAGGGAGGCTCAGACGGAGGGCCCATTGGGCGCGGGGTGCCCAAGCCGCGGGACCCCCGAGGAGGGCAGCTGAGCCAGCTGCTCCGGGCTGGCCAGGGCTCGCAGCAGCCCATTCTCCTGCTCCAGCGCGGCGTTCCGCTCCGCCAGGTCCCGGATCTGCTCCTTCAGCACCTCCACCTCCTCCCGGACCGCAAACATGAGGTGGGACTTCACCAAGTCCTGGGGACCCCGGAACAGGCATGGGGTCAACGGGTGGGTGACTCATCCCCTGCTCAGAGCCTCAAGGGCCGGGGTGGGAGAGAGTCCCCAGCGCCCAGAGAATGAGGGACAAAGTAGCAAAGGGACAGGGGACAAGGACAAGGGATGGAAACAGAGTCAGGGCTCAAAGACAGAGATGGGGACCAGCAGCCTGACCAGAGGCCGGGCAAAGTCAAGGGTGGAGGTGGCAGCAGGAGATGGTGGAGGATGCCCAGAGCCCAGCAGGGAGAGGGATGGAGGAGCTGGGAGTTCCAGCTCCCTGGTGAGGAAAAGAAAAGGGCTGGGGCAGGGGGACGGCTTAAGGGGACTGGGACCTCCTGGGACCAAGATGGCTTCTCTTACCATGGCTTGCTCGATTTTGTTGTCAATGCCAACCAGGCTTCCGGAGCCACTGGAGAGACACAGGAAGGTGAGGGGAGGAGAGGAGGAGAGGAGGAGCCTTCCCAGGTGCTGGCTTCTTGGACCACAGCCTCCCACCCACATCCCCCTGTACCTGTGACAGTAGAGAATGAGGGAGAGGAGGGTTTTGTCCATCCCCCTGCGGGCCGAGGGCCGCTGCCCAGGGCCCCCCAGGCCCCGGTGAGGCGGAGGCCCAGATGTTCCTCGGATGGGAGACGCACCCCGGGGAGAGCAAGGGGAAGAGACACAGCCCCTTTTTCTGGGCGGCCCCGGAGCCATCCCCCCGACTCGGGTCTCATAAGATGACACCAGGGACTTGACAGAGACCCCTGGCTGGGCCATGCCCAAGGGAAAAGCGTCCTTGGACACCCACCCCCAACAGAGAGGGATGCAGTGAAGGGAATGCCTGGGGGGCTCAGAGCCCCCCGGGCAGAGTGGGATCTAGCTGGTGCCAGGCAGGCAGAGAGGAGACAGTGCCTTGGGGGTGCTGGCCTGAAAGATATACACCACCACCCCAGGGCAAGGCCTGGCTGCTATTGGCTCCTTGGGGACACGGGGAACCCCCTCCCTTCAGCTCCTCAGTGGGCGGGAATTCCCAGACATGGTCAGTGCCAGTGTCCCCTTCTCACCCTGGCACTGATCCCAGAGTAGAGGGGAGGGGGCTGACTGAGGAAGTCAGCTGGTGGCCGGGCCCAGGGAGGGGCTTGGGGCAGAAGCCTGGGTCTGAAAGGGGAGTGAAGGGGGTGACGGGTGAGGAAGGGCCTGGCCCTTGGAGGCCCCTCTCCACCTCTCACCCCATCCTGTCCCCTCTGTCCCTCAAGGCCTCGGGAAAGAGGGTGGAGGTGGCTGGGGTGGGGGGCATTCTGATGTGCTCATGGTCTTCCATAGATTGTGAGTGCTCTCTCACCAGAAAACACCACAGGGCTCACATCATGGGTGACCCCTGGGACCTGGCCAGAAGGTCCTTGACTTCCCACAGAGAATACAAAAAATGGGAAAGTTTACCATGGCAACAGAAACTGAGCCCAGAGCCCTGTAAGACAAACAGCCTAAAGGCTGGGCACAGTGGCTCATGTCTGTAATCTCAGTATTTTGGGAGGCCAAGGTGGGCAGATCACTTGAGGTCAGCAGTCCAAGACCAGCCTGGCCAACATGGTGAAACCTCGTCTCTACTAAAAATACAAAAATCAGGCGGGCATGGTAGAGGGCACCAGTAATCCCAGCTACTGGGGAGACTGAGGCAGGAGAATCGCTTGAACCCAGGAAGTGGAGGTTGCAGTGAGCCAAGATTGTGCCACTGCACTCCAGCCTGGGAGATAGGGCAAGACCCTGTCTAAAAAAAAAAGTCCGGGCAAGGTGGCTCACACCTGTAATCCCAGCACTTTGGGAGGCCAAGGTGGGTGGATCACCTGAGGTCAGGAGTTCGAGACCAGCCTGGCCAACACAGTGAAATGCTGTCTCTACTAAAAATACAAAAAATTAGCCAGGCATGGTGGCGGGTGCTTGTAAGTCCCAGCTACTCCAGAGGCTGAGGCAGGAGAATCGCTTGAACCCAGGAGGCAGAGGTTGCAGTGAGCCAAGATTGCACCACCACACTCCAGCCTGGGCAATAAGAGTGAAACTCCGTCTCAAAAAAAAAAAAGCCTACATGCCTGGGACTTGGGTCTGGTATCTCAGAGGAAGAGAGGGCTTGAGGACGGGAAGGGAGGTGAGCTTGGAGCGGGGACTTTGGGAAGAGGAGCAACAAACAGGGTTTAGAAGAGAGCTGGGAGTCCCAGGCGACAGGGAGCTAGAGAGGGTCTAGCTGCAGTCTGGGAAGTGGCCACCAGAGGGAGACTCAGGCCTGGCTCAACAGCCCCCAGGGCTGGGCTCCAGGACACGAGGCTCTTGGTCCCATAATCTGGCGCTCTCAAGCTCCATTCTCACCGTCCAGGACCTGTACAGGCTCCTATGCCCAGCCTCATCCTCCAAGGCACCCTCTCCCACCACTTAGGCCCCAGGCTCTCTCCCTGAGGCTCCCAACCCACCCTTGTACCCCTGCAACCCTGCACCCTGGTGCTGTGTCGGGATCCCCAGTCCTGCCCTCCAGTCTCTCTCAGAGTAGGGGGGGGAGGGGGCTAAAGCGCTGCAGCCCACATCCCTGGGCTCCCCTGTAAGCCCTCCCTCCTGGCTGTCAGACTTGCTTCCCCCGTGGGGGGTGATCAGCACTCAATGCAAGGTAACCCCTAGATGAGGTCCTGTAGCCAGGAAGGGAGCACGAGGGAGTTGGGAATTTTCCATTTCTCATCCAAGCTCTGGGTGCAGAAGGTGTTGACAGGTGGAACAACTAAGGTGGGTGACTAGGCCTGAGAGAGCAGGATGGGGTGGGTGGGGGAAGGGCACCTGGGATTTCTGGGGCGGGGTGAGGGCTGGGCGGGGAGCGGAGAGTTGAAGAGGGTGGGGTGGGTCAGCCAGCTGGAGGGTCAAAGTAATTTTTGAGCTATTTCTTGGCTTGTTTTGTTTTTTTTTTTGAGACGGAGTTTTTCACTCTTGTTGCCCAGGCTGAAGTGCAGGGGTGCAATCTTGGCTCACAGCAACCTCCACCTCCAGGGGTTCAATCGATTCTCCTGCCTCGGCCTCCCAAGTAGCTGGGATTACAGGCACGTGCCACCATGCCTGGCTAATTTTGTATTTTCAGTAGAGATGGGGTTTTTCTATGTTGGTCAGGCTGGTCTCTGCTGACCTCAGGTGATTTGCCCCCCTCGGCCTCCTAAAGTGCTGGGATTACAAATGTGAACCACTGCACCTGGCTTGAGCTATTTCAACCAGCAACACCTGGGTGGAGACAGAGCCACCACAAAAAATCCAATTCTCCCCACTCCATAAACAAACTCACAGAGACCAAAGGGGTGGATACACAGATACAGGAACACAGGCCCTGCTTGGCGGAGACTCAGGGGTAAAGATGTCAAGTAAGTTTTTCATTCTCGCCAGAGATAAAGGAATAATACAAAAGTAAACATTTGTCGGCCGTCAGGTGACTGTCTCCCATTTGTCTAGCACCTGAGAGTTTCTGACGGCACTTTCCAGTGGGACATTCTAATGCCCACTTCAAGGGACCAGAACTCTGACAACCCAGGCCCTCCCCTTGAGGACCCCTGAGTGCGGGGTCATGGGCACTGTGCTAGAATTCTTTGGCAGGGTCCCAGGGAGGAAAGGAAGAGTTGCTGAGACACGATCAACCCGCAAGCCCCAAAAGCAAGTTTGTGTGGATTAGAAAATGTCCCCTTCTTCGAGACCCTTAATGCTGTCTTCCAGAAAAATGTGACTTCAAGCATCTACTGTGACTTCAAATATGAGTGGCACCCCCTGGAGTTGTGCAGAGCATGACATGCACAGTTGGAGACTTAGCCCTGCAGGACTCTTGATTCTGGGGCCGGGACAGCCCTAGGAACTGGTCTTCCTCTTTGAAGGTCAAATAAAAACAGTCTCAACATGAAGATGAGAAGAAAACGCAGGACACCTGGGAGAAATGGGGAGCCTGGGATCTTGCAGACAGGGGCCAGCCCTGTGCACCCTCCAATGTGTTCGGGGGAGCCCCCAGGGCCTAGGCCTGGGGCCAAGAAAGTGGCATCCGGCTGCCCAGTCTCTACTCCCTCCCGGATCTGTGGTGTCTTTGGGGCAGGGCTGAAAAGGTCAGAGAGGGGGAAAAGGGGGCTGGCTCCCTGCCTAGCCTGGGAGAGCTGTCCCTGACAGTTGGAGAGAGAAAAGACATTGCAGACCATTGCCAGCACCTCCTTGCTTGGGACACAGGTATCCTGGTAGGACAGTGGAGAAAGTGTGGCTTTGGGGTCGGACCCAGGCTCCAGTTGCAGTCCAGCC